CTCATGCATGTAGGCCAGCGCTCTCCAAAGTGACCGACAGCCACAACCCTCAAGTTCCTTTTCTAGGCAAATGTACTGCAACCACAAATAAGTGTGTGGCTTTTGCTCTTTAAACTATTTCAGTACCCACTCTTGATAACTTAGTTGTAAGGAATGAGTAAAGTCCTGAGTAGATGTGTGTTGTTGACATGGGCACAAACAGTTTCATCAACTAGGGACCAAGTATTCAAACATATGAGCCTATAGGGGCCATTGTCATTCAGACCACCACATCCCTGGCAGGTCAACCAAGCCATCCAGTGGAGAGCCACTCAAGAGTATACGGGAAACACAAACTGGATTCAGTGAATTAAAAAAAACAATAATAAAATAAAAAAGAGGATACAAATTTGGGTGGATAGGGAAGGAAGGGTAGATCTGGGAGAAGTTTGAGAAGAGGGTGAATATGACCAAAACGTGTTGTATGAAATTCTCAAAGACCTGCTTTAAAAAAATAGAGACTGGGTGTGGTGGGGTGGTGCATGCCTTTAATCCCAGCTCAGGAGGCAAAGGGAGGTGGATATCTGTAAGTTTTACAAAGTAAGACTTTATGTCTTAATTAGGGTTACTATTGCTGTGATGAAACACCATGACCAAAAGCAAGTTGGGGAGGAAAGGGTTTATTTGGCTTAGACTTCCACATCATTGAAGGAAGTCAAGGAAATAACTCAAAGAGGGCAGGATCCTGGAGGCAGGAGCTGATGCAGAGGCCATGGAGGGGTGCTGCTTATAGGCTTGCTCATCATGGCTTGTTCAGCCTGCTTTCTTATAGAACCCAGGACTCTAGCCCAGGGATGGCACCACCCACAATGGACCCTTCTCCATCAATCACTAACGAAGAAAATGCCCTATAGCTGGATCTTATGGAGGCATTTTCTCAATTGAGGTTCCCTACCTTAAGATGACTCTAGCTGCCGGGCAGTAGTGGCGCAAGTCTTTAATCCCAGCACTCGGGAGGCAGAGGCAGGTGGATCTATGTGAGTTCAAGGCCAGCCTGGTCTACAAAGTAAGTTCCAGGACAGGCTCCATAAGCTACACAGAGGAACCCTGTCTAGAAAAAAAAAAATGACTCTAGCCTGTGTCAAGTTCACTTTAAAGTAGCCACCACACCCTGTCTCCAAAAAAATCAAACCAAACCAAAACACACACACAAACACACACACACACACACACACACACACACACACACACACACACACGTGAAAAAAAGAAAAAAATTAAGAGCACATGAAATTGGTAGGGAGAGGTGCAGAATTGCAGGGGAGGGAATTGGGAGTAGATTTGATCAAAGAACATCATATGCATGCATAAAATTCTCAGTTTTATTTCAGGTTTTTAATTTTCCAATAGGAAAATATTCTTTTGTAGGAGGCAGAGTGGGGGGGGGTGTATTTCCTTGAGCTAGGATTTCACTAAACTGCCCAGGCTGGCTCCCAAATAGTGTGATTTTCTTTTTTATGTACCTAAGGCTGGACTTGAACTCCTGATCCTCCTGCCTCCACCTCCCAAATGCTAGGATTACAGGCAAGCAACAGGTGCCCAGTAAATATTCCTTCTTAAAAACTGGAAAAAAAAGAAAGGAAGAAGGAAGGAAAGAAGGAAGGAAGGAAGGAATCTAATAAGGATCTTTAAATGTATTTACTGCATAGTTCATTCCTACTTTAATCTAGACTTTGTTTAATTCCTGTTTAATCTAGACTTCTAAAAGTCTCTTGATAATTCGTAAACTTCAGAGTATCCTGAGATAATGCCACTGTACACTAGGCATTTGCCCTAAACAAAAATTGAGAACATGCCTTCCAGAAAGCAAGATGACTCACAGGCTCATTCAAATCCAAATTTATCTGCCAGCTTTTGCAACATAATCCAGCCAAAGGAATGTGATTCATATCTCAGCTATGCAGCAGCTAAATTTTCATCATTTTTTGAAGTAGGTGCCACTAAAGGGGGAGGGGAGCATCACCATACACTGGCATCATAACACTACAAGCAATTTGAGTTTTTGAAAATACCGAGAACTAAATAATACAGGTTCATTAAGCAGCTTTGGAAAACACATGTGGACAGTAAGAAAAGGAATTATCGCAAATACCAAGAAGATTTGGGTGTGTATTTCACATCTTTTTCATTCTCTCTCTGTCTCTGTCTGTCTGTCTGTCTGTCTGTCTCTCTCTCTCTCTCTCTCTCTCTAGAATCTCATAATGTATCCCAGGCTGGCTCAAACTAAAAATCCTCCTGTCCCAGCCTCCCAAGTGATAAGACAACAGGTGTGCCACCATGGCCAGCAAATTATTTTAGATTTCTTTATTTTGTTATTTTATGTGTATGAGTGTTTTGCCCGCATGTATGTATGTGTACTCTGTGTGTGTCTGGTGTCCTCAGGGGTCAGAAGAGAGCATCGCCTACCCTGGGATTGAGCTGTGAGCCATCACACAGGTGCTGGGAATTAAAAGCCACCATAGAGGTGCTGGGAATGAATGCGGGTGCCCTGTAACAGCAACAAGTGCTCTTAACCACTGAGCCATAGCCCAGCTCCCACCAGCCATCTTTTGAAAGATACTTTTCACATCAATAGCTTCCTGTATCACAACCATTTAATAATATATCAATGGCATCTTCCATGTTGATAACATTTATATGCACTCACATACACACACACACATCAATATCACTTTTTAGGAACACTATCTACTTTATCATGTACTCTAACTTAATTATCTCCTCAGTGATTCTGTGTAATCTACACAGCTGTGCGTTCCCAGGAAAGAAACAGTAAGTTCACTGCTATTTCTAGAGTCCCTTGACTGAGAACATGGGTTTTAAATAAAATAGTAACAACCTTAGAACTGGTGATCACTTCTAAACACTCTAGGCAACAACAACCTAATTCATGCCCAAGTTGGATTTGTATGGTATTTCCCATTTTTTTTCCATTATAAACAGTACTGCAGTCAACTTTTAAATTGTACGTGTATATCTACTGCCTAGAAAGAAACTCTACAAACAGAATTACTCGACGGATTGATATGTCTTTCTTCAAAAAGCAGTACATTGGGTCAGCATCATGGCTCAACAAGCTATGCAACCTGACTTCAATCCCCTGAATGAGCAGGGTGGACACCCAAAAGCTGTCCTCTGACCTCTACAGGCCTGCCGTGGCATGGACACCCCATCCCCATGCACACACAAATGAATAATGTTTTTTAAAACAATCAACCCTTAGCTCCAAAAAGTACATACTGTAACAAATTATACCCCAGCAGTGTATGAGACTTATTATAAATAGTCATTTTACATTTAAGGAATAGTTTGGAAGTATGAATACTCAGAATATACTGTAGAAGTTAAAATTTTACATAATAACTGTTCTTTAGTGGACAAAGTCAGAGAACCAGTGATCAAGGTCTAAGGTCTTTATTTTTTAATCTGTTTTATTATTATTGTATATGTGTGGGCACATACATGCCACTGTGCACTTATGGTAGTAAGTCTGTGGAGTGAGTTCTCTCCTTCTACCTTTCTTTACCAGGGTTCTGAGGATTGAACTCAGATCATCAAGCTTCTGCGGCAATCACTTTATCCATGGAGCCACCTCCCTACCCCAAAACCCAAGGTCTTCATATAATAGAGGTCGAGTCAGAATGGAACTAAGGATCACTCATCTTCACAATTCATACACTATGAGACATACGGAGATACCCAACTGTCTCTCTTCCACTCTCCTATCACTTTACACATTTCTAAATATGAATTCTGTACCCTTGAAATGAAATTTAAAAGAACACAACCTCCTCAGAGTACACTTTGCAGTCCATACACCACAGGATGTGCCAATGGAACCTTCCAAAGACTCCTCAAGCTACCCCAGTCACTGCACAGTCACCGCCAAATCTCTAACAGCCAGACACTTTACCAACTGAGCACCACCGGCATCATGAAGGGAAATGCATCTCCTACTGAGATCACATTTCCTGCACATACTTTGGCAGTTTCAAATAAGAAATGTGCTCTTCCATAACGCAAGGACATTTCCCACAGGGGAAAAAAAAAATCACCTTTGAGTTCCAGCTGTTGTTGTTGTTGTTGTTTTTAAGAGTGATGCTAGATATAATGTTTGTAATGCGTAATGCTGGAGTTACTAAAGGACAATGTTCACAGCCAAGACAGAGCTCGACATAATTTGAAGAGCTCAGAAGGTCCTACTTGCTCAAAAATATCTCCCCTTTGAGCCTGTCTCGGGATCATATTTGAAGCTTTTTAAAAATTCAGAAATTTTCATTCAGTACTTTTGGAATGGAGCCAACACATCTGCATTTGTTAAAAAAAAAAAAACTCCCCAGTTGATTCATTTGAGGAACCAGAATTGAAAAGCAGCAGTTATATAATAGTAAGATAGGGGAGGGGTGGCGTCCAAAGACCTCCAATCCAAATGTTCACATGAAAATCATTCCTCTGGCTTAGTCTGGCTGATTTGATCAGATGGGGGGAAACTGTGCCTTGAGAAGTTGACATTTCAAAAAGGCACGAGGTCACATTCCAGCAGTGGCCTCCAAGAGCAACTTGGTAGGTGGGCATATGGGAATGGACTCCCACCACAAGACCTTTCTCCCAGACACTATGGTATTCACTTCTCTTATCATGTGATTCTCTTCTGTTTTCAGGAAATAAGGGACCATGTCCGACGGTGTTTGTACATCCTACTGACATCATGACTGAGCAACACTAGGCTGCAGGCGGCACTTTCTCCAGTAATGCTGCTCTACACACAAGGCAACAAAAGAAGACTGAGAAAGTAAGATAGGCCACACAGAGATGGCAGGTCACCTTTGCAACAGTCCCTGGGCAGATCTGAGTTTCTCAGGAGAAGTCTGCCTCACAAGAACAATGCCAAACAAGCCAAGAAATCTGTCTTCAACACAGTCTATGCAGAAAGAGCCACCCCAAGAGCTTCCATTACTCACCAGATCTGGACTTAATGATATCACTGAATTCATTCTGCCCATCATCGGGCCTGGCTTCAAGGTCCCCATACTTGGCCATCTTAGCTGAGTTTCAATGTAATCCAAAGGCTTTCCCAAATCTTCTTCTGCAAACTATCAGCTCTGAAGAGTGGTCCAGCTTGGCATGAATACCTAAAAGGAAAAGAGAAAGGACTGACTAGAAATGCATAAACATATTCCTTATTTTTCCTTCTGGCCCATGTCTGGGTGTTCATATGTGAAAGGATGGGCACGCACGTATGTGTGTGCATGTGGAGGCCAACTGATGCTCTCCACCTTTGGCATTCTGAAGCCACATTCCACATGCTGGCAATACAGAATGATTGCTGCATCTGCCAGGCATTTGCCTGGGTGCTGGGATTGGGAGACAAGCGCCTTAACCACTGAGCTTATATTCATATATTCTAATACAGGTTATATACAGTATCCAGTAAAAATTTACTGAGCATCTACCATGGAGGGCACTGAACCCCAGCCATGGGGATCTGACACAGCCTCGTCCACTAGGAGCCTCACTTACGCTAAGCCTCACAGACACTAAGCGAGTCATTATATAATGAATGACTTTATTACAACCCTGAGAGTTAACAACCGTACAAAAGAGAAACATAAAGTAATAAAGGTATAAAGTGAACAAATCTGTCCTGCCCAGGGCCACTGAGAAGTCTTTCTTAAAGAAATGACATTTAAGCCCAGCCTTCAAGGAGAAGAACTTAATTAGTCAAAACAGGAAGCAGAAAAAAAAAGAAGGGCTTGGTATGTGAAGTAGAAGTGACACTGAGGATTGGGAGGGCTGCCATCAGTCACTTTGGGACAGCAGACAGATGAGAGGAAGGATCTCTGTGGGAACAGGGGAGGAAGGAAGGTGGGAATGCACGGAGATTCCGAGAGAGGCTTGGATACCTGACTGAGGACAATGACATCAGAGTGGTGACATAAGCCTGTGGACACTGGTGACTTGTCAGGAAGCCAGAGTGACAGACGGACATGTGGGAACCAGTGAGGACAACGGCAGGTCAGAGCAGCGCGCTCATTAGAGAACTTAGGACATGAGTAAGGAGAGGCTGAATGGAAAGTTTTCAGCTCTTCACTGTGTTTGAAATTTTTGCACACTACTATGTGAGGGAAAAATAATCCCAACCTTGACCAGTGAACAAACCTTACAAAGAATCAACAGGGCATCATGTGAGACAGCAGAAAACACGGCACACCATCTAGAGAGTTTCTCTGCCAGAATATCAGACGTGAGCCTCATCATGGGCAGACAAACTGGGCGTCAAAACAAAGGGACTAGGGAACAGAACATGGTTCCCTGGGTAAAGAGCCTGCTGCACAGGTTTGAGAACCTGACTTCAATCCTCATGCCAATATTAAAAGACAAAAAAAAAAAAAAAAAAAAAAAAGCAGGTATGTGGCATGTGCCTGTAATACCATCACTAGGAGTTAGAAACAGGAAGATTAGAAGCCAATCAGTGAGCCCCAAGTTCAGGGTGAGATCCTGTCTCAAAAAGTAGGGTGGAAACATTGGAAGGAGACTCACTATGCCAATCTCTGACCTCCAAACGAACACACACACACACACACACACACACATACGGCGGGGGGGGGGGGGGGGGGGGGGGGGGGGGGGGGGGGGGGGGGGTGCTCAGTGTCACTCAAATCAAAACTACCTACAGAAAAGGGAACTCCATGGATTAAACAAGACTAAGGAGACCTAACCACCAAACACAATCCTGGTTTGAATTCAGAATATTCAAAGAAAACATTATAGAGTTTACTTTAGGCATTCTTAATATACCAATGTTAAACTCCAGGAATAATTAATAGTGTTGTTAGGAAGGAGATTATCTCCCACTGCAGGAGACACATGATGAAATATTTAACAATGAAGTGCAACAATATCTTCAATGTCTGTGCAGTTATATGTGCACATTGAAATGTACGTGCGTATATACAAAGATACACACAAGCAGAGGAAGCAAATATTATAAAGCAAGAGCAGTTGGGTATCTATTACGCTAATCTTTCCATTATAACATTACTAATATTACAGGCAGTATATTATTGTGGCCTCAACAGATTAGATGGGGGCGGGAAATGAGTGTATACAGAGGATATTAAATAAAGAGGTCACTAAGACTTGGGAACAGCCTGGGCATTAGAAATACAGAACACTAGGATGCTGAGTGACTCAACTGGCACTGGGCAATCCAGAAGTAGATGGACTATCCACTGGGTTGGGAAAAACTTCGGCATTGGACAAAGAGGAAGAAATAATGAATGTGATTTGGATTTGCTGAGTACAAGCTGCTTCTGATATATATATAACGGAAAAGGACCAAAAACATTTGAAAATATGGATTAAGTCAAGGATGGTATGTATTGTAGGTATATAGAAATATAGATAGCCGTATATTGCCCATTGATACAGACTTCATTCTGAAAGGCTCGTCACACCAACTCTGCTGCATATAGGTACCACTCAGATCAAACAATCCAATCTTCAGTAACTGTGAGAAACATATTTAGGTGCTAAAGAACTGAAGATCTGCCCTGCAGTAGCACCCATTCATCAAGAATGCCAACGAGTACCATTCCATACTGCTCTGAGTCCCAGAAAGGAGCAGAGTTCATTTTGAAGTTCAGCATCTGTCTCTTTCCTGGCCCCTTTACAAGTGCCCCAATGCCAATTAAATTAGTCATTAGTTAGGAATATGGTACTCAAGACACCCACACAGTAATCTGCAGAAAAAGGATACAAATCCACACATTAAAATGAGTGTCAGAGGCAGACAAGGAGGCTTGTGACTGCAAGCCCTGAGGTAAGATGATCACTGGAGTTCCAGGTCTGTCTGAGCTGCCATGGGAGACCCGAAACACAGATGAAGAAATGAAAAACCAATGTCAGAACTAGGGTTTATTTCTAGGTAGAAATGGAATGCTCGGTTCTTCAGTGGTTCCGTTTTAAAAGTATTTTTATCTTATGTGCACATGTGAGTGCCTACATGTATGTCTGTTTCCATTTCCTAGAAACGGAGTTACATGTAGTTGTAAGGCACCCAGTATGGGTGCTAGAAACTAAACCCGACGCCTCTGCAAGAGTAAGAAGTGCTCTGAACCGATGAGCCTTTTCTCCAGCCTCAATTCTTTCAACTAAGAATAAATTGTTACTATAATGTAACTTTAAATTTCATATTTGTATAACAGTATTGTGTTCTAACACTGTAGCATACAGTATTACATTTATTTTATAAATATAAACATTATGCAGCATAATAACTTCTCTTTCTGCAAGTCAGGAAGCAAGTAGAGTCCATTAATGATAGCAAAGAGAGAGTTAAGGCAGTTGAAGCAAAGGAATACTGGCAAATTGTTAAAGCTTTAAGAACCATTTCCTCTCAATATATAGATTGGTTCATCAGTCTCCCAGACTTTATGGGACAATAAAAAAAAAACTTTTTAAATGTTTATATGATTTTACAATTATTAAGAATTTACAGACCTGGGTGGTGGTGGCGCATGCCTTTAATCTCAGCACTCAGGAGGCAAAGGCAGGAGGATCCCTGAGGATGAGGCCAGCCTGGTCTACAAAGCGAGTTCCAGGACAGCCAGGGCTACACAGAGAAACTCTGTCTCAAAAAAACCAAACCAATAAAAAAGAAGAATTTGCAGACCTGGATGTGGTGACTCAGAGCTATAATCCTAGCACTAGAGAAGTGGGAAAAAAGGTCCCTAAAATCCCAGGCTAGCCTGAGCTACATAGAAAATCCCAAGCTAGCCTAGTGATTCAGGGATTACCCAGCATGCACATGGTTCTGGGTTTGATCCCAGAACTACAAAAACAAACAAACAAAATTAAAGTCAAAAGCGACCAGAGAAAAAGGCTGGCAGCCTGGCCATTTGCCAACCACTTTTTATCAGAAGTGGACCAGTAACCCCAGCAGGAGAATCGAGGGTTCAAAACCACCCCCTGCTGTACAGAAAGTCTGAGGCCAGCCTGGGCTACATGAGACTGAAGAAAACAAAACAAAACAAAAAAAAAAAACTTCTCCCAAAGAATATAATCATAGATTTTTATATTCCTATCTTGAAGTACAAAACTGTGAAAGACTTGCTAAACTTCTACGTGTATCTTGATATTTTAGAGACCCAAAATCTTGCTCAGAGAACATATGGACATTTTGTTATGGAAAATCCCAGTTGCCTAAGGAAAATTCTCTTTCCTGGAATCAAGTTCCTTTGAGAGACAAGTCCGGGGCTCTCCTTTACAACTAGTTTTAGCCAGGGACCTCCACATGAAGGCTTCTCAAAGACTTCTCCACTCTATTAAAAAGGCGCCTGCTACTAAGCCTGGTGACCTCTGCGTGTGTGCAATGGGACTTGCTCCCTCTCACACATACGATAAATATTTAAAATGCATTTTTTTTATTTATGTGTGAGTGTCTGCCTTATATGTGTACCTTGTGCCCAAGGAGGCCAGAAAAGGGCGTAAGAAAGTGAGCCTGGACTGTCTCTTAACCACTGAGTCATCTTTAAAAAACAATGACACCCCCCCTGCCAATTTCTTTTCAAGAATAAAGTTAACTTGTACACAGGCCTCCTTTTCACTTGCATATGACCAATAATGCTTCTTCATTACAATGTTTGATTCTGCCATTTCCCTTGGGATAATTTTCCCAACGTTCTCTTCTTGATAATGCAAATCCCTGCTACACTGCAAAAATGTAACAGAAAAAAAAATGATCAAGGAACTAGGAAAGAATGAGCAGGGGAGACACTAACAGAAGACGGGCATTTAAACATGTCACAGCCACTAACTCTTGTTGCCACTAATGTCCCAGGAGCTCCAGTTTGAGTAAGAAAGCTTAAGGAGACTTTCTTCCAAACTGCCAGGTGCAAGCCAAGGGTGGCGGTACACACCTACAGCCCAAGCGACTTCGGAGGATGAAGCAAGAAATTCAAGGCCAGCCTGGGCCACATAATGAGACCTGTCTCAAAATACGTAAATAAAATGCTACAATAGCTGGCTGTGGGAACAGAATCAAAGCTTCCTTAGTAACAAAGACACCTATGGAATGGGAGAAACCACACTCCACGCGGATAAGGAAGAAGCAAGGGGTGAATGACCCCGAGGTTGTGCTAGGAGCCCCACACAATTGCTGTCCAGTCTCTTCCCTCTAAATGACACACGGTGAAGTTTAGCCAAAGGTTCCCCTACTGACACCTACCCATCCACCTGCCTGCACCAGTTCCTCCTTCAAGGTTGATGCTTCTCTGTTACACAGAACGCCAGGAGTGGCGGCTTTACAGGCAAAAGTTCGCGAATATACAACTTTCAAAAAGTGTCATCGTGAAGGCAGCCGTGGCGGAAAGCTGTTAAATCTTGCAAAAATTATTCGCTCGCGAGTAACCAAAAAGCTAGGAATGCTGGAGATAGTGGACAGGGAAGCGGAGGAACAAGTTTGCTGTTCCACTTGTAAAGGAAACCGCTGAGTGCCAAGAACTGCCATTCACACTAGGAAGCGCTCCAGGGAAGGTTAATACCACTGTGATTAATGCTGTTTACAGGCACAATAAATTTTAGATAAACACCCAAAGGAGAGCTAAAGAGCTATCTCAAAGGTCTCATAAATGCTGGTGAAGGGGGCGGGGGATGGCCTCAGCGCGAATGGCCCTCGCCCCTCACAGCCTTGTCCTCGGGCTGAACGACCCACGAGCTTCGAATTCCTCCTGCTTTGGCAGGCCCCAATGCTACCCGCAAGCTGAGTCCCCGGCGCCCACCAGCAGCCAGACCCCGAGGGTCCAGCCTGACTTCAGAGGCCCAGGGCAAGTTCCAACGGCATGGATGAGGCTGGTGCCTGGTCATCCAGGCGATCCCGAATCCTCTGGAATTCGTGCGCTCTGGCCAAGGCGCACCCTCTCAAGCAACACTTGGAGAGCCCACCTCTCTAGATAGCGGCGACCCAAGTGATCTGAAAACTAGGAGGGTGAAGGATGCTCCCTCGGGGACACCCTAGAGAGTGCAGCCCGGAATTACAGCCAGGAGCTTCAATTTGAGGGTTCCAAAAAGGCGAGTCCCTGGCTCTCAGGGGTCACACATATTTTCTCCTCCCCCTTGAAAGCAACCCTGGAACGCCACACCGTCGGAATCTAGGGACTTGAAAAGTCTCTTTGAACAATGTGCCTTCTAAAAGTTGCACAGCCTACAATTAGTTCTTTGTTGGTTTTGTGAGTGGCCTTGGGCAAGCAGAGAGAGTGTCTCAGACCCAGGCCAAAGAGGGGCATGAATTACCTTGTCAGTTGCAGTAAGGGATGCCAAGAGTCCGGAAAAGCAGGCGACCGGGACTGCGCACCAATGAAGTACCCCCCTACCCCTTCAGCCTCTCCAGAGCTGCTGGCTGGCAGAGAGCTGGCGATCTCGCCACACTGGGGCCCCACCCTCGGGAGCAGCAACCACACAGAGGTCGAGCACGCCCCCAGCCTGGAGGCCAGCAGGGAAGCGCTCCCCAACCCTCCGACCGCACGACCGCCCTCCCCACCCTCTCCTCCGGGACAACGCCCGGGCCCCGCCTTCCTGGGACCGGAGGTGTGTGACAGGCTCTCCGAAGAGGCCACGTCCCCTCTTGGAGATCGCTAGCCCTGCTAGCCCGCTCGGGGAGATGAACGGACAGGCGACACCCTCTCCCTTCAGGAAGGGACCAGACGACAGCACTGAACCAGCCCGAGAAATTTGAGAGCTTGGCGACAAGTACAGATTCCCACCTTCTCATCCCGGCTCTCTCCCGCCCGGGAGTGGGGGGGGGGGGGGGGCGCTGAGCTCCCAGGGAAAGTGCAGAAGTTGGCTACGGCTTCTATTTCTGGACCGGGCGGAGGAACCGCAGAAAGGTCCCACCTCCTCTCAGCCCCCGCCCCGTTCCCTCGGGGACTGCGGCCACATTACACAGCCCGGAGCCTCAATAATGCATAGGCTTACCTGCTCGCCAAGTCCCAGAGGCCCAAGGGCTCCTCTGGGCGTGTTCGGGTCGCAGGAAGCCGGGTGTGCGGGAGCCTACGTTGGGCGATGCGAGGATTTTGGTTTTTCTTTTCCTTTTTTTTTTTTTTTTAAATGAAACGTGGAAAGTCAGACAAGATCCGAAAGAGGGGGGGAAAAAAACTTGACACCCGATTGGAAACGCCCCCTGACTTGTGCAATCTTCCTGCCCGGTAGTTCCGCCAAAACCAAAACAGTCCAAACGCTAACCAGGGGAAGGCGCGCGCTGGAGTTTTCCGTCTGCAGGAATGACCCGAAAGAAATGGAGCACCACTCGCCGAGGTCGCCCGATCGGCTCGGGGAGCCTGCGGCTCCTCCTCGGCCCTGGGCGGGAGAAATCCCGCGCCCGGCGCTGCCCGCTCCCCTCCTCCGGGGAAGGGCGACTCCACAACTTTGTGCGCGAGAGCTGCTCGCGGCTCCGGCTCCTCCTCCCGGTCCTCCCCCGCGGCCGCCGCCGGCCCCTTTGTTGGAGAGCGAGGGTGGGGCGCTGCTCGGTCAGCCCGCCACCCCGGGAACCAGGCTCGGGTCTCCCGCAGGGAGAGCCCAGCCCAGTAGCCGTGGATCCCGCAGGTCGGAGCCGCCCCCCGTTCCCGCCGCCTCGTCGCTCGCGCGCCCTCGGCCCCCAGGCCCTGCAACTTTGTTCCGGGAGAGATCAGTCCCTCTCGGCTCCCCGGTCGGCCCTGCCCCTGCCTAGGAAGCCACCGCGGGCCGGGTTCCCAGAACGTGGCGCCTCGGGTCACCTGACCGCGCGCCCGGTCAATCAGCGCTAGCCCTAAGCGCCGTCCCAGCCCGCAGCCGCTGGCCCGGTGCGGTGCGCGGTGCGGGAATCCGGAACCAGTCGTGCGTGCTAAGAGCCAGAAGCGGGAATAGGCAGGCGCGCACGCACCGAGCCCCTTATTCAAATTGTCCAAAAATGTATGTCACGCCCGCCTAGGCATACAGGGTCTCTGTGAGGTGCTTTTTTGTTTTGTTTTGTTTTTTTCCAAGATAAATGTCGATCTGCTTGCCAACTCATCCCATCTCAGTTTACCGACGTTGTTTTTGAGTTCGGGGTTCTAAATCCAAGGGTATATTTATTTTATGCAATTTTCTTAGCATCGTTTAAAATGCTGATGCCCTTATATTTTCATTCATAGACACAAACAGTGTTGGTTCTGACCTTTACATTTTTACTCTGTGTGTGTGTGTGTGTGTGTGTGTGTGTGTGTGTGTGTGTGTGTGTGTGTGTTCGTGCACATGCTGTGTGGAGTGGGGCCCCAGTGACATAGCACTTACGTTGAAGTCAGAAGGACAACTTTGTAGAGACAGTTCTCTCATTACACCTTTATATGGGATCCAGGGATCCAACTCTTCAGGCTTTAGTACTAGACAGGGGCTTTACCCGCAGCGCCATCTGCCAAACTTTTTTTTTTCTATTTTTCCAAGCAAACATACATTGTTTGCAGAACTTGTTGCAAGTTTACCGGATCAGCCAAAACATATCTTGGAATACATAACCTTGCATTATGTGTGCATTTTTTCTTATTACATGTTTCATTCTGATGAGTTCCTGTGACTGTTTTCCTGATCATGCTTGGAGGGGAAAGAAAAAAATAGCAGCCTAAGTCCTCAGCTTGTATAAACAAAGAGGAAATCATGGCTGATGACAGAGTGCTGGCTTACTGCTTCCTTAATACTTAAGGGTTAATTTATGAGCCAGTAAAAATAATTCACTAGCCTTGTGTTAATTACCAGTTGAAAACCTGTGGGGTCTCGAAGTAGTATGGGATCGGACAGGAGAAGTCTTGGAAGAGCCTTCCTTATGAAGTCTCGGATTCAACAGCTTCTCTTTTGAGGGTTCACTTCATATAAGCCAAACAGAACCCAAACACCAACTGGAAATCAATATGACTTGCTCATTCACCATCATTCCTTTCTTTATCAAGTATCAATACGGGGTCTGCAACAGTGGATGATACATAGAAATCCAACACAGATCTTGCCCTTAAAGAATGTAGAATTCAGTAAGTGAGCTAAGGTATGAAAGATTCATGACATCAGGTCAAGTATGCTGTATAGACTGCCATCACTGAGACAAAATAATCGGTGTAAACAACCTAAACGGGAAAGATTTATGTTAGCTCTCAGCCTCAGGGGATTCAGGCTGAGATTGGCTGGATCCATTGCTTTGGGTCTGAGGCAAGGCAGAACATCATGGCGGTGGAGAATGTGGCAGAGTCTGAACACTTTGTGTCTGTCAGGAAGCAGAAAGCCAGAGAGAGAGGCCCAGAACAAGATCTAGCCCCCAAAGACCTGACTCCAAGTAGGACCCACCTCCATTGAATTATGCATCTACCAAGTGACTTAATCCATTTACTAGGTCAAAGACCTCATAATGCAATTGTCCATCAACAATTGACTGGATCTGTCAGTTAAGGACTTGGCTTCCAACACAAGGACCCTTCACGCAAACATTTTATATCCAAACTGTAACAGTGGTAGAGTTGGTAGAAATTTAGAGTGTTCCCTCTTTTAAAATGATAAGGGGTAGGGGTCTAGAAAGATGACTCAGTGGTTTAAATTGCTTACTGCTCTTGCAGAGGACCTGAGTTTGGTTCCCAGAACTCATATCAAGTGGCTCACAACCTCTAGCTCTAGGGGATACAACCTCCCTTCTGGCCTTCACAGGCACCCTCCCACAAATGCATATACACACATTAATAGAATGAAATAAATCTGGTTTTTTTGAAAAAAGATAATGAGGGGATTGGGAATGTAGCTCAGTTAATAGAGTGGTTGCCAGGCATGCATGAAGCCCAAGGTTCAATCTCTAACACCACACAGAACTGACCATTGCATACACTCACAATCCTACCACCTGGAACACAGAAGCAGGAAGATCAGAAGTTCAAGGCCAGCTTCAACTATATAGCAAATCTGAGGCATCAGCTTCAGTGATAACAGAAGGTATCTGGCAATCTGAGCAAACCTATGTCATGGGTCCAGAAAAAAGGCTTAACATGGTGACCAGGAGTTCCCAAGTTGGTCCTGTCCTTTAGTAGGTGAGGACACCACATCTGGCAGCAGAATATGACTACAACTGGCTATGTTTCCCTAAAGGTAGTCATTGTGAGCCCTTTACAGTACCAGCTTCATCTTGAGGGATTGTGGACGCCGATCTCCAGGAGGTATGGGTAACCATTAATGCACCTGCAACCAGCAGGCCACCTGTAGTGCATGCTGGCTAGGCAGTGACCTGTGACAAGAGTACCTTCTGACCATTGTGGCTGCTGAAAAGGTCACTATGGGGCATGCAGAAATAGTGATAGGAACATGGCCCTGGGCCTACCATTAACCCAAAGTCACCACTGAACAATAAGAAGGGAAGACACTTACACTGGTGTTACTATAGTAAGAAAAGTCTTTTACTGAAGACAGAAAGTATGATATGATAGTATATGTACAAGTTAACATATACAAACATATGCACATGTATATACCATACATTCACTATATGGGCCCAATTCGCATAAATACAGGGGACTGTGTGTTAATATTAGAGCCCAAAAGAAAATGTTCTTTACTAAACCTATGCAATAACATATAAATATAATCGGACATGGTAAAATATGCCTGTAATTAAAACTACTTGGAAAACTGAGGCAGGAGGATTACAACTTTGAGGTCAGCCTGAATAGCGTAGTGAGAGACTCTGTATAAATAAATGGATCAGGGGTGTTACTCGGCGGTAAAACATCTGCAAGGCTCTAGGTTGAATCCTCAGTATCAATAAAAGAGAGAGAGAGATTAAGTATAGATGCAGGGGTTTTTTTTAGAACAATAGAAGCAAGAGAAAATATGTGACGTATTTTTGTATATGTATTTATGTTTATGTTCATATGTGTGGGCATGGAGGGCAGAGACAACCTTGAGTATTAGTTTCCAGGCACATTTTTATTTATTTATTTATTTATTATTTTTTATTTTTTTAGTCAGGGTCTCTCTCCGGCCTAGGACTCATCGAGCAGACTAGGTAGCTGACCAGTAAGCCTTAGGGATCTAATACTCCTCCAGCACTGGGCTTAAGTGCTAGCTCTCTCCCCTGGCTTTACAAAGAAAGAAAAAAACAAAAACAAAAACAACAACAATAACAAAAACCAGGTCTGGGGATAAAGCTTAAGTCTTTGTAAGGCAAGTGCTTTATCAATCGAGCTATCTCTCTAGCCCTACAGAGAGAGAGAGAGAGAGAGAGAGAGAGAGAGAGAGGTGTTTTGAGGGAGATTGTATTTGGTTGTTGTTGTTGCTGTTTAGCAGGGTCTCACAATGTAGACCAGGCTGGTCTTGAACACAAAGACATCCACTTGCTTCAGCCTCCCAAGTGCTGAGATTAGAGGCCTGCAGCACCATGCCTGGCTAG